CCGGTCTCATCTCGCCATTGCGGCACGTGCAGTTAACTAAAACTGAGTGGGCTGACAATCCGGGACTGTGAGGGGATGAGGGGCGGTGAGGTCTGCGTACTTGACTAGTAAACGCAAGTTCATGGCTGAACGGACAACCTAGTCATGCTAGTGTACATGGATGGCCTTGGACCGGCTGGTGAACGCCTGCGTCAAGAAGGAGTCGGTAAGCAGCTGCACTTGCTCAGTCATTTCATCCAGCTGTGCTTCCACAGACTCAAGATCCTCCTTGAGCTGATCGATGGGCGACCTTCTCTTCTTCACGACCTCGATGTCCAAGGCCAGCAGCTTCAGGTTGAGGAGCATAGAGCGTTGAATATTGTCCGCCTGATGGGTGATGTAAGTCTTCTGACAGGCTCGAGCACGTTGAAGGTGAACCTCGTTCATCGAGTTGGCTGCTTCTCGCTCGCTATACCTCAGCAGCTCCTTGATCACGATGGCATGAAACTGATCCCTGCTGATCTCTCCGTCCTGCAAGTCGTCGTCAACGTGCCAGTCAAGACGACTGCATCCCTCTCGTCACCTCGCTGCAGAGGGTCCGCTGCATCGTCAACCTGCAACGCAAGCTCAGTGAGATCCACACGAACCATCCTTGTTGAGATACTGCTCGAAGTCATCCTGTCAGCCAATGTCATTGCCTGCACTGCTGTGGAGATCGAAGACTTGCCGGAGAAAGCTGCACTGGGACGGAAAGCCGCATAGCCAGAAACCCGCTGTTGATCTTGTCAAAATCTAGCATGCCTTCCTCGGCGATGTCCAGCGTCTGCAACAACAACGCACACATCAGAAGATGATGAATACGGTCAAAGTTCGATCAAAGTTCCGACCCGAAACAGCGATTGGATCCTATCTTCGAGATCCTTCTTGTCACTGAACTTTGCGATCATCTCTATTACAGGGTCCATGACTCCTGATATTCGAGCAGCCTGTCGCTTCTGCTCCATTTCAAGCTCGTGCGCCTCTTGCTGTGGACCATCGACAGAGTGAGGAGAAGGGCAACCTGGAAAGCACAACATACTGCTGCAGTCTTTTCTATGGTGATAGTTTGAATGAGCTCATCAAGCAAAACAGCCACGACGACGTTGATTAGCACAACACCAGTCTGGTCGAGTTTGAGTGTTGAGCGTTATGGGAGGGCAAGTGACTCACCGATAGAACGTAGGACGAGAAGAAGAGAGCAACTGCACGATCAAAGGTTCCTTTCTCGGCCATGTACACTGGCCGAGCGACATACGAGGCCCACGAGTCTCCCTGGAAGGTTGTTAGCCGTTGAAATCTTGCGTGTAACAGGGCTCACCGTGGCAATCTGGAACATGGTAAACAAGGAAGCACTCAGCGTTCCGAAGAACTCAGGCTTGACCTCGCTGCATGTAGATTCATCACTTCCAGGAAGAGTCGTCAAGAGAGGAATACCCATAAAGGTTCGTCGCCAACACGGCATACGAGCACGTCACTATCATCAACAACCCCAGAGCTGAAGCCACTGGCCGTATGGCCTTCTGCAGTCCTCGCAGGATCCGCTTGAACGATCTCAGACGTCCCAACACTCGTAAAATTCGCAGAATCCGAACTGGTCGAAGCGCCTATGGGCCGAATTCAGTACAAATTGCAGAATAGGGAATGTACAGCTGGTTACCTTGACATCGAACGTTGCAGCGATCACTGATATGACTATGACAACAATATCCACAGAATTCCATGCTGAGCAGAGGATAAGACGATAATAAGAGGTTTAGAGGATGAGCAGTGAAGTCAGGAAGAGATCATCTTCGTCTTACCTTGAATCACGAACTTCTGTTGCCAGCGTGGAATGTGGCCAACCACCATAACAAACAATTCCACCAAGAAGAACAAAGAGCACCCTATATTGAAGGCCGTCACCGCACCGTCACTCAGCAATCTTCCTGCTGAAGTTGCGGTTGTGTAATAAACTTCTGTCTGATACAGCGTCATAGCAACAGCGAAGAGAATGACGGTAGAGCACGTCGCTCGGTAAATCCTGTTTTTGTATAGTTTGAGGCAGTTCACTTGCAGCCATTTCCGGTTGCTGTTTCCAATCTTGGTCTTTTCTGTTTGGAGCTTTCTGGCCTTCTTGGAATCTTTCGACGCTGTCGTTATGTTCGAGAACCATTCATTCAATTCCTTTTCATCCCTCGCTTGGAAGATGAATGTCCTGTAACACACGTCATTCATCATCATCACCATAACTGAGATACTCAGACCTTCCACTGTTCTTTCCATCTTCGGATGTTTGTATGTAAAACACCAAATCTGCATTCATGGTATTCGCGTTCTTCCTTGTCTTGGTTGGCCTGCGGGATGACCTCCGCTTGCTGTTCCCTTCTGCTGCGTCAATCATGTCATCCAGTTCAGTTCCAAACCCCACGTCCTGTATTTCATGCAACGGAATGTCATCGAGCACTATGGATGGGTTGCTCGGGTTGGCGAAGCAAACGGTGAAGGAGGTCAGGACGGCAAGGCGAGGCTGCCATGAGATTGACGAGCTGTTCAAATCATCCTCGTCAGGGAGGTGTCAGGACAAGGTCAAGAGAACAAACAACTCGCAACAGTCTGCACAGGAGCACGCAAACAGCATTCAATAATTCAACAGCCGATCACCTCACGATCTTCTTATATAGAGTTCCAGAAAGAATGATGTCTTCGGTAGGCATGAAAATATTGCGCTGGCTGCGGAACGACCCGACGCTATAGTTGTCATCGCTCACGTCGCTCAGCTCGTTCCCCCAGTGGTTCCTCCTCGCTGCATAACCGTTTCCCTCATCCCCCGATGAGTCGCCTCCTCCTCCTTCTCCTTCCCATCCCCCGCCGCCTGGCCGCCTCGACGGCAGCGGGTTGAACATTGCGGTCAAACCGGAGGAAGATCACCACCGGTGCTGCTAGGCTAAAATGACTCGGGGGGAGGGGTACTTTCTACGAAGGGACGGTAGAGTGTATGGGTATCCCAGGTGAAGTCACCATTACGGGTGATATAACCGTCAAAGAGGGGGGTACTTGGGGTATAAATTGACGATAAAAGGGGGACTTGACGATAAGGGGGTGGGTGTCGAAGGGGGTGGAGAGTTCCCTGAACATTTGACTAAAATGATAAGTCAATGCACTTGACCGTCGGCGGGCCGGGCCGGGCCCCGGCCCTCATCATCGGGTCTACCTGATTGTCAGGCTCGGCGTCACGGCGTCCTGACTTCCGTCGTGCCAGTCAGATAGCGCCGAGTTACAGTCTATCTCTGATGCGCTCCTCACAATGATTCTGGTTTCGTGTGCATTAAACTCACATGAAATGTGTCAGCAACATTTTAGTGCATTAAAAACTTGCACAATATTCATACAATTTCAGCACAATCTCCGAGTATAATTTCAGTTCAATTCAAGTATTGGGATGAGAAGCCTAAACAACTTGCGGCTAGTGAGAGAGCCTGATTGAAGAGAAGAGTCATCCGAATGTGTAAGGCTTGATAGAATTGCATGAATTTTCAACAGCAACATGCCATGATTGAGCATGTAATCCGGCGAGGCTCATTATCGACAGAGCACAAGTTTGTTAATCGGAGTACAATGACGTTTACAAACTCCTAGCTATGGTACCGTAGGTTCATGACAATGTACCCTATCTCCCTTAAAATCCACAATAAACTTCATTCATGTTCAAAACGAAAACTAGTTTTAAAAATGGATACGCCCACCCAACACAGAGCAACAATCCCAAACGCCCTTATCTATTCAATGTCCCGGGCCAATACCATTCTCTTTTCATATCGCAAAAGTGTGTTGCAAAAGCGGAACTCGCCATACTATGACATGTCGCAAATAGTCTTGCATTCCTCGATCAGCGGCATCAAAATGCGGTTAATCTCTCTGTAGAATTCCTTCTTTTCAGTAGACTGAGCGTACCACAGCTGTTCAATCCCAAACTGGGATGACCAAACTTCCTGCAACTCCTCGTCGGGGATGTAAGCAAATTCGTACACGGTGAACATGTTCTTGTGAATCAGCATACGATGATCCTTGATATGTTTCATGTACTCTGAAAAGATCTCCTCGTCCTCCAAGATTGGAAGGATCCACTGAGGTTTTTTTAAGTCGTCGGGATCTCTTCCGGCAATCTCAATCAAACAAGACAGTGCTACCACGTCCAGGTTACGCTCCTTGAGTATCTCATACGCAGTCTCCAGATCTGGCTTCACAATCTGTAGAGCGTAAAGAATGGGGAGACATTCTTCATCATCCAGTCTCCACTGGCACCAAATCTCGTAGGCATCCACGCTGGCATCGATGACATACTTGGCCATGTTCATACACAAAGGTTCTTGGTGGGCACGATCTACTTCAAACATCGCAGTGTACCCAAGGACTTCACGTATTTTCTTCGAGAACTCCGCGTGTATCATGGCGCGTGTTTTTATGGTGTGGTCTCTGTGGTGGCTTGTCTTTTGAAAGGGACCGAGGGGGGGAACTGGAAATATGCTAATAATCTTCAAAAAAATTATTTGTAAATTTTCAGCACATTTCAATTGTGCTGATGATATGCCAATAAGTTGCCAGTTCTTGCAGGTTTGGGAGATTTGTGTGTCAAATGTGCTAATAATCTTCAAATAATTTACTCGGAAAATTTTCAGCACATTTGAATTGTGCTAGCTAACTTCCCCGCGCAGGTTTGGGAAGATTTGTGGGTCAAATGTGCTAGTAATCTATGGTAATTTACTTGTAGATTTTCAGCAAATTTCAAGCTCCCCCAGCAGGCCCACCAACCTTGGCCGCCAACTTGGCAAGTTCCTGCCAGCGGCCAAGTTCTTGAAGGGCCCGGTATGAGGAGGGATGAGGGTCCCGATGGAACCATGGCCGTGATGGCATGCACGAACGCGATGGCCTCGTGCGGCAGCTGCTGTCGCGATGCCGCCGGGCTGACCGTGCGACCATTAAAGCTCCGAGGAGGAGGGAAGAGAGATCTCCACAAGTGGCTCGAAGAGGTCAGTGCCCTCCTGACCCATGCCTCGTCACATTGGCTTGCAGGTCAAGGTGAAGAACGATTTTCCAGAATTCGCAGTAAGGAAGAATGAGATGCCCACGTAGACCTTGTCCTCGATCCGAGGGAGAGATGAATTTAATGCAGGGGAAACGCCTTAGAAAACGCTATCCAATATAATCTTATGAAGGTAATGAGTATCAGGAGTATTATATGGATGCCATATGATTTGACTTGGACAGGCCGCAAGTGTAATGGAGAAGCAGGTGTGTGAGATCAACGTGATAGATCTCAGTATGGTCAAGATGTTAGATTTGTCTCAGTGTGGTTCGTTACTACCTCAGTGAGGTTGCACTTGAAGACTACCTCAGAGTAGGAGTACTCTTAGAATCCTCGGTTTTGTACCTTAGAATCAGGAGGATAGGTAGTGCTCGCTAAGTGTAGGACAGTGAATGGATGTTGTCAGGTGGATGAGAAGATTAAGCATCTCGACGACCTGGACTCCGACGAAGTACCTCATCCTGTTCTTGAAGAGATCCGTACCGACTAAACGCTTGTGAAAGATTGAACAATTGCGAGAGAAGCGTGTTCGAAGATTGAAGAAGATACAATACCTGTAACTAGCACGCTGATTCATGTGCTTGCTGACATGTATGTAGGCAGAACAAGTGGCGGGCAATGGGGACGGGCGATTATGTACAGGTGGAGCCATTCGAGGCCAGTGAGACATGTTGGTTGATGATGCGAACGCAGGTCTCAGAACGTGACTTGTTCAGCATGTTCAGACACCACAAGAGGTTGTTTAGAAGTGTTCTATCAGCTTCCTCTTCATCATCCCTCACTTCCTTTCTCTCTCCCAGGATAGTGGTGCACTTTTTCCGCGAATCGACAGAAAGATGCAAACTTCTAGATAGGAAATTATTGTCAACTTGATACCTAAGGTTGCGTAATCGATGCTTGTACAGGCATCTTTCGCAGTTGGCTGTGGAGCATGTAGAAACTATGTTTGTCAAGGTCGATGTGGAAAAAGTGACGTCACCCTGCTCCTTGTGCATCATATTCATCGCATGCACCTTTCCCAGGCTCCTTTCCTTGTAGAGAAGTTGAAGGTGAAGGTATGACAACCCTTGCAAGATTGTATTTGATTTCATTGACAATTAACAGGTGCTTCCATGTATGAAGTTGATGAAAGACGAGCAAGTCTTCAAAACCTTGGTAGGAACGCACTTTAACAACCTTCGCGCTCAACTTGAAAATAGATTGGTTTCGAAGAGTTTGGTAATCGGGATGAATTCAAGACTCGGGAGCTAGCAATATGCCTTGCTCGATACGAGATGATCAGGTACATGTGTTATGCTTTCCTTGTGCCATTGAAGTTGGAGATGGAAGGCACCCCGACATGTCCCTCGACGAGTTTGAAGTTGGTGACGAGGATGCTTTGCTAAGTTCTGATTGAAATTGGACGTCATTTTCGACACAAGGACGAATGTTGTATAGATCAAACATCCCTTTCAGCCTCGCAAGCGGTCGTAGACTAACTCTCACACCCCGATTCAACCCTTCTACCGGATCCGCTCACTTCTCACCGCATGGTTGTTTTGTAAGTAAATGGACCGTCCAATCATTCGAATAGACTCAGGAACCCAAGTACTGAAGTTTGCATTTCACCCTTATGCTGAAGGCAGTTACTAGCAGAAGAACAATTTATTAGAACACAAGGCGCGACATTCGCTAAACTTTGAATTGTCCAAATCGACCCTAGTCTAGAGGGAATCTGAAGTTTTGCCGGACGATGGTTGACAATTCTGCTCACTTTGTCCCAACAGATGTTCATTCCATGTCCAACTGAAGTCCTTGAAGCCTCCTACCACAAAAACACTTGAAAGATGGGAAAGTGAATATTTGTGTTTTGCTGTTAAGCTCGCACTCATCATGGTGTGGACGGCTTTGAAATGTCTTCTGAAATGTGATTTTTTCGGAGTGACATAGGAGCATTGGTTGCAGCAAATCCATGTCTCTTGTTTCGGTTCCGGAACGTAAACTTTGGTATAAGTTTCCGTTCGTTCTCGGATCCGTTCGCTAAAGATCTAGGGAGCTATCAGTGTACTGGAGGTGAAGAACTAGGTCGATCCACCTGTTTCCTGATGGAAATCTTGCAAGGGATACCTTCAAACTCTTGAAGGGCAGGAGCTTGACGATTCTTACTGTGGCACAACTCGATGACACAAGTTCTCGTCTCTCGAATATCGATGCCATCAGGATACAAGTTCAGGATTTTTCGCTTGCGGTTCATCTCTCCTGTAGTGCAGGGGGTGAATCGTAGTACATATCAGCACTTCCCACACGCTGTGTCAATCTCTCTTCTCCTGCTTCCTAGCGTTGCTTTTCAACCATTCCGTGTCCCTTCCATGTCTCTCACTCAGCCTCGAACCATTCCATGTTCCTCGCCCTCGGCTCGAAACGTTAATGTATGATCTTCGGCTATTCGCTATGAACACTAGCTGCTCCTCTCCTCTCTCCCCCCCTTTTCTCTCCCCCCTATCCTCTCCTCTCCTCTCTTCTCTTCTCTTCTCTTCTCCCATCAATTCCTCTCCTCTCCTCTCCTCTCCTTCCCTGCATTCTTCCCCCGCTACACGCTGTTTCCTTTTCTCCATTATCTCCCTTCGCGCCTCTCCTCTCCTCTCCTCTCCTCTGATTCTTCTTTCTTGTTTTGGTTTTCCCGCCGAATCTCCCACAGGGGTGGGTACTGAATGCTGAGGATCATGGGGGTGGTGGTGCTTTGACTAGTATCTGCAACCGGGAGTACCCCCTTCATGTACCCAATAGTTGAGGGTATCAAGGGGGTACTTTGATAGGGGGGTACTTTGATAGATTAGCAGCGCAAACTTTTTCCCGCCAACAAAATCAGCACCAGATAGTCTGACGTACAACCGCCAATGCCGCCGCTCTTGACATGCGACGTCGCTGCTGCTGCTGCCGCTCGCAATGCTCCTGTCCCTGCTCCTCATCTTCTTCGATGTTTCCATGAGCTTGAGTCGTTCCTGGTTTCAATGGCTTGCCTCTCTCCTGCTCTTCCCTGACATACCAGCACCTCCTCTAATCCATATCTTCTGCTTTGCTTCGAGAGATTCGTTGCACCTGCCGCGAACTCTGAATGCAGCTCCCTCCTTCTGTCCTCCTCTGTCGGAATCATCCTGCTTCTTCATTGCATACTCGCGTTCCTTCAGTTGACATCACAACCTAAGAGGTTCTTTTGTTGCTTCTTCAACGAGATAAAACAGTCACTCAACTTGCAATTATGGTGTGATCATCACAATGCCGACTTCATCCTTCAAAGCCCAATATCCTCCTCTCAGGAATCCTCAAAACATTCGTGTTGTGTGTCTCTAACTCTAAGGTTTTGCAGAGCAACTAACCGCGAAGATGCCAACCGAAGATCTCGTGCAGATGCTCTGGTCAGAAACCAGCGCTAGACAAGTGCAACTCGACTCCATCGATCGATTGAACATCGCAATCCTCTCGCAATGTTCCAGGGATCACCCTGCAGACACCCTGCAACATGTACAGGTGGATAATGCAATTCAAGCAGAGACGGATGTTCCTTCAAACGATAGTCTGTTGTGCTCTGATGATGTATTTCATGATCATGAAGTCAATGCTGACTCCGCTAAGCAAAACAGTGTCATAGAACCGGATGACCAGATCCGAGATCTCGATTCGAAACCATTAAAGGATGATGCTGAGACGTCGAAGACTCGGCAACGACGGCTGCAGTGGACGGAAGTTGATATGTTACTGCCTCAGCAGCCAGTCCTGTCGGAAGAAAAGCGCTCCCCGAACAAAAAGGGACGTCTCTTTGAATCGCTAGGTCAGTGTCTACCTCTCATGGTAATGCCGTTGATTATGCTAACAGAAGAGTTGAAAGCTGCGCTCTCCTCCTTGAAGCAAAGGCGAAGTGGAGGAAGAATTCGTATTCTCAAGAAGACTCTCGAGACCCTGGACGATATTGGCGTTGTCAAGTTGCTTCGAGCTTCAAAGAAAGAAGCACAAGCGAACGCTATGCTTCTACCGTACTGGACAGTCAATTTTGGAGAAGGCCTTTTCCTCAGAAACGATGGCAATGTCTTTTCTCGGAATAGAGTGCATGGCCCTGCATCGCGAGGCACCTAGGATGCCCGGAAAGCCTAATTGCATAACTTGAGGAGCAGGCGCTTTCTGCGTGAAATCGATGTGCGTGTAGCTCGTCAGTGCCATTGTTGGGATGTAATAAAACTGAGGTCACAGATACAGGATCCGAATGAAAGGAATCTTTCATGCGCATTGGTGATAATGTACATGGCAGGGGATCAGCAGGAGCGATTCAGCTTCCGGAGTAGATGGAGATTATGGAGTCAGAAGCCCCAGCAGCAAGGATCAGTCTAAGGGGATGGAAGCCAACGGAGCAGATGGGACCGATCCTCTGGCCGAGAAAGCCTTCGTGGTACTTGATGGTGTTGAGTAGCTCTCCTCCAGTGCTGATGACGTTGACCTGCGAGGAGATCAAAGACACTTCGAGGGAGGAGCGTGACGTACCATCTGAGCATCAGACCCCGTCGCTAGGACCGGGGCATATGGGTGCAACGCCATGGCAGTGATCCTCTCCTTATGAGCCTGGTACCGCAAGGAGTCAGAGCCAGCTCTCTCCTGTGCAGGTAGCGCCGCACTCGAAACGTCTTGAGTGAGCTCATAGTTCGGAGGTCCCAGATCTTGATCTCGCCGTTGCTCGCGGCAGAGATCAGCTGCAGTCCGTCAGTGTCCGAGGAGGAGGCGGCACGAGGAGCAGACCTGCGAGTCTGAGCTCAGCGGGCCGTTGAGCATGGCCACGTTGACAACGTAGGTGGAGTGCTCAACCAGAGCAGCGGGCGGGTTGGAGTTCATGGCACGGAGGTCGAGGATCTGGAAAGAGGTCAAAAGGTTCTTGCAGACAGGAATCGGGTGGGTCACTCGGATGCTTCCGTCGCTGCACCCTGCCAGAGCAGTGTTGGTATCTCCTGCTTTCATCGAGCAGACGCAAGAGACGGAGTTGTTAGTGCCGCTCCTGTAAGTCTGCTCCACGTCAGATTCTCCGCGACTAACTTGCTGTCACAGACCTGCACGCAGCGCTCTCTCGCTAGATCCCAGACGCGGATCAGAGGCGTTTCTCCTCCCACCACCAACTTGGAGAAGTCTTGGAGCATATGCATCACCAAACCTACATACAGTTCCGATCACCTCCCCGCTTCCTCCCACTTTCCCTCCCTCTTTCGCTCACTCGCTGGCTCTTCCTCTCCCTCTCTGTCTGTCTTGCTCGCTCGCTCTCTCTCTGCCTCTTTCCCCCTCCCTCCCATTACCGGGTCCACGGTTCGATCCTTGCATCTCAGGCACAGCTCGCCATCCTCCCACCAGCGTCTCCTGACCGCGTTCGCCGAACCCTCGCCATGCTGACGCGACATGTCACCCAAGTCTGGCTCATCGCAAGTTACAACCTCTGATAACGCCATCATCGGAGCCCGAGAGGATGAGGCCGAGGTACGGATCGTTCTGTTCCATCATCACCAATCTGATATCATGCGAGCACGACAGATACCTCATGGAGGAGGAGGAGAGAACTGAGCCTGGTGCCTGCTGGATTCATGTTGCGAAAGCTGTTGCTACAGCCCGTCATCTGCGAGACCGTGACATGTCAGCAGGACCACAGAAGTCATGCCTTTCACCTGATCCCCGTAGTGCCACAGACTGATGCAGTTGGTGTCGTCCCCTACAACAAGCAAGGGAGCATGCGGGTGGAAGACAAGCTGCCTTGGACAGCGACCCTGGAGCGTCATGGTAAGAGAAACGCGGCTCCTCTCACGGAAAGCACCTGGTTGTCGAGCAGAGCGATCTGATGGGGGATTGGGGGATTAGTCAAGTTCATGAGCTTCCGGGCGAGCGCGTTGGTTCTTAGCGCACAAGTCAGCACAAGTCTGAGTAGCTCCACACTCGCGCGACAGCACGATCACCTTGCCATCTCCATTCTCCTCCGCTGGTCCAACTCCGACTGCTCCTTCTCCATCTGGTTCGACTGCCAGCGCGTCAAGGACTGGGAGAGGAAGGTGTAGGAGACCTTGAGCAGCCTCTGCCGTATCAAGCCGAGGTTCTTCTGGTAGTAGCGGCTCGTCAGGGTGACCGGGGACTGCAGCTCGAGGGGGCCCGTTGATCTCCTTCCGTGAGCGTGCAGCGATGGGTCGACGTTGCCGGAGATGGAGAGAGAGGAGTCATCGAGCTGAGAAGCACCATGCAAGCGTCAGGCCGTGAGCGTTGGCAAAGCGGCAGCAGGATCAGCACCTGCAAGCTCGCCTCACGGACGGTCCGTTTCATGCTGTCCTCGCGCCCTCCAAAGAGCTTGGGGAACCAGCGCTTGGGAGACATGCGGATGTTGTTCAAGGCGCTCCGTTGCGATGGGGATGCGAGGGAAGAAGAACCGAAGCTCCCAACTGGGTCGCGCAGAGTCCGCAGGAGCAGAGGCCTCTCTGAAGGACTCGTCGACTGTGCGCCAGAGACGTTTACAGGAGAGTTCATAGGGTGCGAACTTCCTCCAGCATTGCTGGGAGTTCCAGGACGCTCTGCTGGGATCGGTCTCCCCTGCAGGAGGAGTGAGCAAGAGGAAGGAGGGAGGCACAAATTTCACCCGGCCCGGATCGCATCTCTCTTCGAGCCAGATGAGGAGCGCGCCTGCGGTCCGCGCGATGTCGCCGATGGGATCTCGTGAGAGCCGGAGGAGAGTCGCCACGACAGAGGAGCAGACCTGCTCAGACGTGGAGTGAGGGAACGAAGTGGAAGGAGATGAAGGAGGAGGAGGCAACGGGAGAGCGATGATCTAGACGAGCAGCGTCTGAGGTGAGGAGGAGAGAGGGGTGGGAGCCTGCGCACCTCGGTAGGGAAGGGAACTGCGTCATTGGGCTTCTCGTTCTCACGGTTGAGAGTCCTCGGGCGAATCTTGACCGGCGACCTGCCAGGGAGGCTGAGGAGGGTCAGGGTGGCTCCTCCCTCACGACTTACTTTCTGTTCGCCAGGGGGATGGGCATGTTTGACGCGTATGGGGAGTTGGAGGCACCGACGTTGTTCTGGCTAGCGTTGCCGCCGTCCGATCCCCCACCACCAGTGAGGGACTGATATATGGACAGCCAGTCGCCGTCCGCCTCCTCGATGAACTGAGGGATCATCACATTGTTGCCGCTCCTGTCCATCCCCCTTCCTCCCCCAGCTGACTTCCATCCGGCCCTCACGCAGACCTGCACAACTCCCTCCTCGAAGCGACGGATCAGAATCGCCAGCAGGAAGGTCAGCTCGCGTCGAACCACCGGGCTGGCATCCCCGAGGGTGCTGAGAGAGGCTTGGGCAAGAGCCAGCTCCTGATCGATCCTTGCCTTTACGTCCTCGTCCGCACGGTTCGCGGCTGCCGCCCCCGCTGCTGCTGCTCCTCCTGTCTTTGCCGTCTTGTTCTCTGCTGCGTTTCCTTCAGCATGCTCGGGCTTCTTGGGAAGAGCGTCGGAGGTGAGGGAGTCTCGATCAGAGCGCATGTACGTGCCCAGAGCATACAGAGCAGCTGCTCGGACCTCTGCGACAGGATCTTGGAGGAGGGTGACGATGACTTGGGGGAGCTGCTGATCCAGCGCCAGACTCTTCGCTCGCTCGTAGGAGGACCACAGCTGGCCGGAGCACAGGCAGACCCACTTGCGGATGTGGGGGCAGGAGGAGTCGACGTGGCCCTTGAGGCCGATGATGATGTCGCCCTGAAGGCACTTGTCCTTGGCCTCGGGTAGCTCGGAGACGATGACGCTGAGGATGACAACAGAGAGGGCTCGTTGGTTCGGAGGTAGGTCCGGGCTAGTCAAGCACTGAAGGAAGTAGGTGTAGTCCGTGTCGCGGATCAGATCGACGGTGCAGGAGCTGTCGACCGTTAAAATCTTAGCCCATATGAAGATGAGCGGCTCTCGGATGTGCTTGGAGGGGCTCTGAAGGAGTTTCAGCACGTAGGGAAAGACTCCGACTGAAAGAGCATGGTTGACGGCCCAGGAACCCATGTCGAGGAAGCGAGCGAGGAGGTTGAGAGCTCTGAACCTGTGGGCCTGCGATAAAAGCACCTGCAGCACGACGGTAAGGACAGGAGGCTTCGTCTCCTTCCTCCCTCCGAACTCGAGCCAGACTTCGAAGGCAGTCAGCTGCTCGACGAAGAAACTTGACGGCTGATACTCTGCTGGAGGGTCCGCCAGGACAGCCGGGAGCTGGGAGAGGCAAACTTCCACGGCAAGATCCCAGGCAGACCAGAGGGGATGCTGATAAGAAGGAGGAAGTTTAGGAACTGAGACTGGGTTGCAGTTGACCGAGCGGAGGATACGCTCGGCGAGAATGAAGTTCCTGAAGATGGAAGCGACGAGCAAGTCCTGACGGAACAGCCGCTGGAATAGCTCAGGGGGGAGGAGACTCCAGGCGATGGTGTCGGTCACGGCCGTGAAGATCCAGTTGAGCTCTCCGAGGATGGTCTGCAAGCAAACTCAGTCGTTCAGTGCGGAGAGTGACCCGACAGTTCCAACCTTCCTGTTGTTGAGCTGCCCGGGAATATGGTCGATCAAGCTCGGGTCAATCTTGAGCAGGGAGGACGATCTGCTGCAGAACCATCGAAGAGCCATCGTGATGGGCGTCGTCAAGCAGGAGGTGAAGACGTCGGCAGGGAGCTCAGGGTTCTGTGGTCGCAGATGGTTTAAGGAGAACAACACCAAGACAGGGAGGAAGACGACGAAGAGAGGAGGGTACGGAAGGGGGGAGCGGAGAGGAAGGAGCAGCAGAGACGTAGTTAGGGAGCAGAGAGGGAGCACGATGAGCCGGAGTTGGCAGATTGTGAGTGGTAGATGGAGAGCAGGGGGTGATGGAGTAAGGATGTAAAAGTTCAAGTACCTGGGGCAGCAGCTCTCCTGCGCTGCAAGCAGCAAGGATGATGAGATCAGCATCACGATGTTGTTGGTTGACAAGGACGCCAGCGTTGGAGCAGTCGAAGACGAAGACGCTGGGCGATCCCAACCAGGTCTGCAGGTCGTAGACAGAGAGGGGGATGTACTGAGTGAAGTTCTTGTTGAAAACCCAGATCTCGCTGTTGGCCGTCGGCCTGGGGACCCCATGGCCGTTGTAATGGAACAAGACTCGCTCGTCCTTGGCCTCCTTGCGCAGGTTGTCGCACAGTTTCTTCACGTCATCTACCTTGGGGTCGAGGCCCTGCTGGTAGTTCGCTCGCGGCTGCCATCGCCGGTACTGAGCCTCCAGCTTCTTCCCGATCGTCTCCAGCGCCTTCTGCGGGCTCATCATCTGGGGGTCGACCCAGCACTCCATGCGGGCGCAGGGCGAGGGCTTGATGACGTCAGGAGGGTCGACGCGGATGTTGAGACAAGCGACCAGCGCCACGTTCATCGTCTTCATCCTCTCCTTGAGCCGCCATGAGTTGATCTTGGGCTCCTCCTCCTCGTCGTGCGCTGAGTCCTCCGACTGTTGGGCGCGGGGGAACAGGACGGGCCTCCCCTCCCATGTCGAGGGCTCCGGAAGGTCCAGGGAGAACTCAAGCTCGCAGTCGACTTCTAGCCCCATGGTAGCTTCGATGCTGCGCCAAAATGTCAAATGGACGGTTGAGACGAGAAGAAGATGTGGTGGGAGAGGATAGCGGACGAGGAGCAAGGAGCAGCAGGAGAGAGGAAGAGTTGCAAGGGAGAACACGGACGAGGAGAGCTTACGTCATTGTGTGTTGCCTGGATGGTCTTAGAGAAAGTGGGTTGTGTCCAGTAGTAGTTTCATCCTGAACTTCTGTTCGTATTAGTCAATTGACTGTAGACAAACTCTCTTCCAGCATCCCCTTCCTCCACTCCATTCTTCCTGCCTGCCTCTGGCCCCTTCCACTACCAACCTTTTGCTTCCGTTTCTATCCCGAACTTAATCCTCCTACTCCCTTGTTTTTCTCAGCAACGATTTTCCTCCCTTCCCCTGTGCTATTTTTTTCTCCTTGGCCATACTCACTTGTTCTGTTTCCTCTTCTACACTCCACGAGCGAGATGGCTAAGTTCCCCTCCTTTCCTGTTCGATGCTGCTGCTGCTGCTCCTCCTCCTCCCCCCTCCTTCCTCGTCCACCAGCCTCCTCCCATTTTCTCCCCGTCCCCCTGGCATTGGCTTCCTCTCTCAACACACCCCACCCCTAGGATTTGATCACCCCACCCTACACTGAAAATTTTACAATATTTATTTTATATTAATATCACCCCTACAGCACAAACATAAGTATTGGTACCCGGTATATGGTAGTATTCCAGTACATTGTCGAGGTACCGTACCCCCTTGGATACCACCCCACCCCCTTCCTCCTGTCCATGCCCCCAAGTCCTCAGCAAACTATGCGTCCGCCCCTAAAAAATCCCCGCAGTGAAGCTTTAACCTCCTCCCCGCCCCCCCCCGCCCCCCGCCCCGCTCTCCCCTCCTCCTCCTCCCGGTCCTCGTCCTCGTCCCCTCCCCCTCCCTCGCCCTCTCGCTCCTCTCGCTCTCTCGCTCTTTCCCTTCCTCGTCTCTCGTCGCCATCCTCGTCCGCTCACGTGTCTCGTCATGACTGCTGCAGTGTTTACTTGGTGGCTGTGTACCCATTAAAGATCGAGAGCGCTGGCGAAGTCGAAGAGCAGAAGGAGCGCGACAGATGTCGGGAGAGCTTGAGGAGGGCAGAGAGGAGACGATTGAGAAGACTGGGGAAGTAGTGGGGGGGGGAGGGAGGGAGAGAGGAGGGAGGGGCAGGGAGGGCAGGGAGGACTCTAACAGAAGTCTGACACGATCTGGGAGGGTAAACAGTCATCAGCAGCATCGTCTGAGGTCTCCCGCTACTCACATAGAGCCCGGATCCTGCCATCATCGCCTCATGGTCCAGGAAGAAGAGGTTTCTCCCTGCACAGCAGCCATCCCGTCACCTCTTCTGCAGACCCTTCACCTCACTCACTCCCTGACAGCTCCTGCATCGCCTCCGCGCTGCTGTAGGCCATCTAGGGCAGCAAGTTCAGTCCGGGAGGAGAGGAGGAGGAGGAGGAGGAGGAGGAGGAGGAGGAAGGAGGAGGAGGAGGAGGAGGAAGGAGGAGTGGTTAGTGGTGGTGGTGGTGGTGGTGGTGGTGGTGGTGGTGGTGGT